GAATATTTAACTTTATAACTCTACAAAAACTTTAGCACTCTATTTTAGTAAAAGCGACCCTACTAATTTCTGCACTAAATTTAGCCAGAATCTCAGAAAATGTTTTATGCAAGTCTACTCTAATGTAGAGGCGCTGCGTGCTATAAGTAAACCTAGGGCGCAGTAGTTTATAATTAATAAAACGCTTTAATAAGGGCGTAATAGGGCTAATTCTGCAGTTATAACGACTAACTTTGCTAATACTAAGAATTAAGAGCTAAGTAATTAGGTAGCTAACTTTGTTTATTTTGCTTAACTTATTCTATTTGCTCTAGACAATCCTTTTTTATACGCAGCTGCAGGCATTCTAGTAGCACTTTATAATAATTGTGCCTACGCAGCCTACTTGCTTCTATTTAAGTAGCGTAAAGATAGTAAAAAATCCTATTAAAGTAAAGCATAGAAGCTTTTAGACCCTAATTTATTTGTGGCCTAGCGTCCTAATAAAGCGAGTATAAGTAGTACTAATAAGTATATGCAACTAGTCTACACAGAGGCTAAATTACTTGCTATAGGCGCTATACTGTAATAATATTTTAATTAATAGGTAAAAGAAAATGCTATAGCTACTTAGCAGCAAGGCAAGGCTTACTTGCGGCTTTTTTCTAATTATATACTACTTTTTAAGGAAGACTTCCTGCGCCAGCTAACTTTTACTAATAGAATTAATATAGATTTTAGTAAGGAGTATATTAGTATTTGCTATTAACTGCGCCTTGCACGCAAGATAGATAGCATTAAGGGTAATAATATTTAGCTAAACTATATGCGTAAGCATTTTTACTATATGCGCAATTAATTAGGAAATAGAGCATAGTTAATTAGTTCTAACTACTTGTATAGCATTAATTAATACTACAAAGTTAACTTCTAGGACGATTACTTTATTAACTGCAAGAACTGCAGTATTTACTTTTTTGCTAATTATATAGGCGCGTTGCGCGCCTTTAACAAAGCCTACGCTAATTAAGTTATTAAGGAATTAAAGTATACTACTAGTATAGGCGACGTTTTTGCGCAAAAGCACTTAAAGACCCTAAATTAGGGAAATACTTTACTAGAAAACCCTAATAACAATATTGTCTGGGATATGTTTTACGCAGAATACAACTTTTTAAAAACTAGGTACAACTTTTTAGCGCGTTGCTTAGAGTACAACTAGCAAGCTGTTATATACTACTAACTTGTGTCTAATTCTGTTCTGCTAAACAATATTACAGAGCAGATAGCGCAGGCTAATAAAGAAGAGGTAACTTTTTTTGTTTAATATACTAATATTTTAAATAGCATACTAGTCCGCACTGCTACTATGTATTTTCTAGCTAATCTTAAGCCCTTGAAGCTTGTGGAGATTGATACTAATAATTCTATTTAGTATTAGCAATAGAAGGACCTACTTAGTACTTTTGTATTTAATACTATTATTATAGAGGAGTACAAAGAAGCACTAACTAGTATATATATATAGTAATGCTTAGAACTGCGTATGCCTAGCTAGATAGGAGTAACTTTACTATAGAGCTAGAGTTATAGTATTAGCAAGGGCATAAAAGTAGCTTAATAACGCATTATAGAAGGCAAGGGCCTATGTAGTATATTGCCTAGCAACTTAACTAGTTTAGGCAAATCTATAATTAGTTTTGGCATTATACTAGGAGTAAGTGCATATACCTGCTAATAATAATCCCTATTAAGCGTCTAGTGTATTCTAGGTTGAAATTACACCTAGAAATTTCTGGGGCCCTGTTACATACTAAACAATATGTAAACTAATAGTATTTACCCTCTTATTTACTGGAATTTTCTAGTACCTAGTATATACAAGATTTATTATTGGACACTATAATTAACTTATACAGGTAAATAACAAGCGTGCTTTTAACTTAAACAAGCTGCGCGAAAAGCGAGACTAGGCTAGTATTTAGAAATATACTATTAACTATTTGCTAAAAATTTACATCTAGGCTACTGAATTTTATCTAATATTCTAGGCTGCAGATAATGCTTTTTGCTTTTCTAATACTTTTATTATTTACGTTTATTGTAATAACTATAACAAAGCCTTTAATTTCCCGTCTGGCGTCTGACAACTCTTAAATACTATGCAGTTTTATAATACTTTTTTTTTAGAGTATAATTTTTTTAAGTGCTATATTATTATTATTGCGAGTAAAAGTATTCTGTTTTATCGACATAGACCTTGCGCTGTTTTGCAGTATTTAGCAGTGCTATTAAATTCCTGTGTGCCTTTATTAAAAGCTAAAGCTAAGTTGCTAATAGTATTTTTTTATAACTTTTTCTATAATCTGCGCAGACATATTGGCATTTTAGTAATTAATAAAACTTATTAAGGTAGCGGCTTTGAGACGGATATATAAATAATCCTGCGTTGGCTAGGCGCTAACTTTTATGTAGTTTTTACTACTACTTCTATTTTATAGGCAGCTAAGAAGCTTAATAGTATTCTAGCTATATTTAAAAATCCGGACACGCAAGAGGAAGCTATAGCCTACTATATTTGTACTAGCGATAATATAGTTAATGTTTATACTACTAACCTTGCTTATAACAATTCTATGCGCGTATAGCGCTTGACTTGAGCTATATTTGTGTTGCACTTTAACTAGAATATAGATTATGTAGCACAGGGACGCGTGCTTGTAATAGTTTTTAATAGCTTTATACTGCGTTGCACCTACTAATTTTTGTGTATTACTTATTCTAATAGGGATATATACTCTCTATAGTATTTTATGCTACTAAGCATTCCTATTCGCATTTATGTTAAAAACGCGGGTATTACTAATAAGATTTGGAATAATAAGAGTAGGAGTGCTTTTAACTGCTTGTACTATAAGGACTGTAATGCTACAGAACATAGTAAAGACAAGTTATTAATTAATAGCAAGTACAAGCGACTATTAACTGCGGGCTTATTCTACGCCTTTCTGTTTTATGCTATAGAGATTTATGATATTTAAAATAATTTGGCTATTTTTAAGTACTATAAGCTATATAATAAGGGTTACTATGCCGAGTATTTTTATCGCATTTTTAAAAATATTTATAAAGTAGTTATAGAGAAAAGCTGCCTGTGTGTTTTTTTTTTCTAGGACCCTAATAATCTGGACTAGTATTGCCTGCTTAGGAAGTTAAAAAATAGTAAGATTATATAAGCGTTTACTTTGCAATTAGAATGTATTAAACTTATTCTTGCCTTTGTGGCTAACTGGGTTGCTTGCAGTAGAGAGAAGGTTATTATTTAGTGTATAAATCTTACTAAAGCTGAGATTCTAAACTGCATTTTTAATTTGTGCAGTATATGCTTAGTTGCTTTACTCTCCTACTATAATGCAGTTAATAAGGCTAATATTTTGAAGCAGTTTTAGACCCTATTAAAAAAGGATACTAGCTATGCTACTCCTCCTGCTTCTGCATTTAAACGCGATAAAGAAATTAAAGTTTTTTTCTGCTCTATTAATAGTAGTATAGGCTTTAATATGCAGATCTGCTGCTGGATAATATTTATAGGAACGGCAATATTTGACTAGGACTACTACTAGTGCTGCGGTTGTATTATTAGAATTAGACAAAATTATGCTTGTGTTATTGTAGAGATTTATAATTTAAAGTTTTATAACTTTTGTGTATTTGCAAAGAATGTTTAGTATGCCCTGCCTAGTTTTGTTTTAAATATTAATATAGCCCAATTCCGGCGTTTGTTCTAGGTAGACTTTATAAATAAGAAACTATTTAATAGACTAGACGGTATTTTTATAAATAGCTTTTATAGCTTTGTAAAACTAGAAAATAGTTGCATTATCTACAAGAACAATGCCAGCATTGCAGACTTAGTTAGTAAAGGCGTTAATTTAGAGCTTATAGAGGTAATTAGCGCGCTGTTTGCTATAATAAACGCGTAGATTTATGTAATTAAATATAAAAAAGATAATACTATATTTGTTTAGAAGACTACGCATACTGCTAAAGTTTTCCTAAGTGTTTTAAATACGCCTAGTAAGTATTTAGGACTTTATAGCAACCGCGCATATAGGATACGTGATTTAGTTACTATTCTTAGGGATTTAGAAGAAGAAAATAAAAATAAAAAGGATAACTCTGCCTGCTGCGTAACTTCTTTAACGTTTAAGCTAAAAGCAGCAGCTAGAAAGTGCAAGCATAGTAGTATTAGTAGAGTAAGTAAGGCAAGCAAGCGTAGGAGGGCAGATACAGGTACTTACTCTAATAAAGTAGATAAGTATTAGCTCGAGGACACGAACTTTAATATAGAGAAAGTATTTAAGAAAATTAAGAGTGTACTAGAGCCTATTAAGTATAATATAATACTAGCTTTTAAGTAGATACGCACATAGCGCTAAACCTCTACTAAGTAGAATAGAGTAGGTTTAACTATAATATTAGGACAGCAATTAGTAGGAAATAGATATAAATGCAGTATACAATAAACCCTACTAATATATATATTGAGTGTTATTATTTGCTATATAAAAATTCTACTTTTCTGCCCCCTACTTGCCTTGTTACAAAGAATAATGTATAGGCGCTATTAGTAAAACCCTCTACTTATTTTTATACCTAACTAATAACCTAACAACTACCTATTATATATAGACACCCGGCTATTTCTAGTAGATAATAATACTTTGGCCTACCTGTTATGCATTTAAGTAGTTGGGTATACTAAGCGCTATTTTTAACTTAATTAGGCAATTACTTTATGTAAAGTGGGGGTAAATGTCTATATTTACTATAAATAACTGCTTAATTTAGAGTAATTACGTTATACTAAGTATAGACTATAGGCTGTTGTTATACAACGCTTCCTATCCTTCTTTTTTCCTTTTTTCTACTTTTTCCTTCTCTCTACTTTTTCCAATCTATCTGAAAAACTACCCTATTTAGACTAACTTATTTACTAACTTACTTCCTACTACTTTAACATGTCTGCAGCTACTCGCAAAGCAGCTTTATTAGGCAGTATTTACTGCAAAATAGGTATCTACTATACATAACTTAAGAAAAAAAACTAGAATTAATTAGTTACTTGTTATGTATCTGTTCCTTAACTTATAATATAGTAAATAATACCCTTGTCTAGCGGGAGTGGACCCTTAACAATAAGGTTATGCTTAATTAGTTTTTTGGCTTAATTTTAAGCAACAGTATAGAAGTTTTATAAGGCCTTGTTTATAACAAGCTCTATGCAAGTACGAATTATATGCTTTAGATAAAATAGAATTTTTACTTACTTTTGCATTAGCGGCTAAGGCTATTAATAACGCTGCAGCTGCTAAAGCTGCTAAAGCTGCTAACTCTAAAGCTAAGGAGCCTGCTAAGCGCAAGTTAAGTAGTACTGCTATTAAAATTAAGAAGGGCACTAAGGTGACGCCTGCTAAGCGTGCTACTGCTAATAATATAAAAGAAAATAATTTTAAGCTTAAGTGTGCTACTACTAGCAAAGGTAAGGAGCTTATTTACGCTGCTATTAGCAGAAAGTTCTTTCCTAAGCTTAAGATAGCCTATAAGAAGAAGTTAGCTAAAGCTATTACTATTTAAGATAACCTAGTTGAGGAAGAAGAGGATAGTAGTGCAGATAATTATAAAAAAGCTAAGGATGTAGAAGAGGAGGATACTAAGAAGCTTGTTAATAAGCCTAAGTTTTCTAGCTCTGCTGCTGCTGCTTCTGCTGCCCCTGTTTAATGCTGTGTCCCCTTAAAAAGCCTGCACTAGGTACTAGTTTACTATACTTATATAGGCAGAATTTATAGATTTTATAAAACTTATAATATATTTTTACAATATATACGGGATGCACGATAATCTGGATATAGTACTTTATAGTAGTTTTGCTAAACTAAATTGCATAAAACTTAGTTAGACTAGTAGTTTATATTTTAATTAGATTTTTCCAACCCCCTTCTTTAATTCCTTAAAACGTAATGTAATATTTTCTATAAAATACTAAGTATATACTAATTTAGGTAATTTTAGGGTTTTCTTATAAAACTGGAATCCCCTAGCGGCCTGTATGTGACTAGACATTGTTAGTTATTGCTTATTTTTATATATATAGCTTAATATAATAATATTTATATATATAACTTTAGTGGCGCGATATATAAGTCGTTTAGGATTTAGTTTATTTAATAAAAGCTGTGTTATTTTTTACTCTATAAAATATGGGGAGCTAAAGGGCATGCAACTAACTTATAGCCCTAATTAATGCAATTTCTTATTTATGCTAGGGGATACTAGTTCCTTGTTTTATTTTGTTATAGCTTTATAATAACTGCTTCTGTATACGATTGCATGCTCATACATTTGTATCCTATTCTACTAATTTAATACTAAACTAAGTAGCTAAAACTGCAAATGTAGAGCTATTAGTATATGTATAGTTACTAACAAAGTTAGCTAACTATTTTTAACTATTGTAGACTTTCTATGTGTTTATACGCGTAGTATTAACACTAGCTGTAGTATTAATATTGTGTGTTGTAAGCAAGGCGCGGATTTTTATTAAGGTATATTAAGTGCCCTTAAAGACTATTTTAAACTAATAGGCTTTTGGGTTATGCTGTCCCTATTTAACTATATTATAGAGTGCCTGCTGGAGCAACGGGAGCATAGTAAGGTTAATAATATCTATTGTGCTGCAGTAGATTACTATGCGCAATAACTCTGTAGTATTTAGTAAAAGTAGTATAGTTTAAGCAAAATAGTTGAAGGTAGCAAGGCCTTGTGATAGTAATATGTACCTGTTTATTCCCTAGTAAAGTAGTATGTGTTTAATATAGGCAGGGTCTACTGCATTATAAAAGCCTAAGTTCTGTTTAGAAAGGTAGATAGTATTTAGTTGTATAAGTTTATAGGCGACTTAGAGCTGCTACTGCTTTTTAAGTTTATTAATATTAACAAGGGCGCAGTTGCGAAGGTATAGCTAATAAGTAGAAACTATAAGCGCTGCAAGTTTAGCAGCTACTAGTATACTATATATACTTGCTAGAACTATGTTGAGGCTAATATTAAGCGTTAGCACTGCAGGTGTCTGCTAGGGTTATATTAGCAGTGTTTTTGCGCATACTAAGTGTATAGTGCGTACTGTTAGCGTGCTGTAGTATATTTGCTATACTATACTATTAGCCCTATATAAACTAGTAAGAACTAAGCCTAGTAATTTAATTATAGCTATTTTGTAGGGAACATCTACATGTTTATATGTTGCACTGTTTGGATCTGTATATAGCTGCGAGTTTAGTATATTTGTAGCTATAGTATCCTGTTATAAAAGTTAGAGTAGGATTAAGTGTTATATAGAAAGGTAAAGAAGTAGAGGAGGGTAGGGGGCTAATATACTGTTTTACCCTTTATGTAGTTGGGAATAAGTATGTTTTTAGCTCTCCTTGTAAGGGGCGCGTTGCTATAATAAGTGGGTGCTAACTATATTTATTTAGGCCTAGTGTAGAGGGTAGGGTTTACTACTACTATTTTGTAGCTAGTTTAAACTGCATCTACTTTTCTAAAGACTTATATAGTTTTATATTAAAGCACTACTATTTTTATACCTAAGGGACTAATTATAGTGTATAAGTACTTGGGTAAATCTAGCTTTTTAATGCTTGTAGCATGCAAATAAAATTAAATATATAATATAGTATAACTATAAAGAAGGTTAACCCTGTCTACATCCCTAACTTTTTATAGTAGGTTTACTTTAACTCTATGTATAGTACTTAATAGGGTTAATATTACTGTATTAGGTTAGTATACTATGTGTAAAAGCACGGGCTAGCTGCTGTAAACTATCTACTATATTTTTTCCTTTTTTCTTCTTATTTTTTTACTATCCTTTTCTAATTTTAGGTTATTTTGAATGTTTATTTGAGCACTACTAGCTTTAGCAACTTACTAATATAGGCTATCTAAATAGTACTGACCTGGAATTATCTAGTATCTTGTATAGCTAGGACTACTAGCACTTATACAACTACTACTAGTCCCTATTAGTTTTTTGCTTTTTGGGTTGGTTATACCCTAATTAACTAATTATATATGTAGTTATTTCTTTGCTGCTATATTTTTAGGCTAGCCTTTCTATACGCTGCTAATCCTAGAATTTATTTTGTATTTCCTGCCTACTGTCTGTGTATATAAGTATACCTAGAGTGTATATTAATATGCTGTTGTTAGAACTTAGTGCTTAATATAATTTAAGCTAACGTTGCCCTTATAGTTAAAGTATATATTCTACCCCTCTACTTTTTTTATCCTGGCAATAACAGCAGTATTTAGGCGGCTTAGCATTTTATTAGGCGTGCTATAGACCTAGGAGTTATCGCCTTTAAAGCCTGCTACGACTATTTAATATAGGTATTTTACTATAATAATGTGGATTAAAATAAAATTGAGGCTATTATTTATGCCGCCTAAGGCGCGGGCTTTTTTATTCCTAAAAGTACTTTATACTTGTTACTTACTTATTTTTGCTAGTATGTTAATATTAAGAATATTAATATTAGTATAAACACTGTTTATAGCGCTATAACTTTTTATTTGAACTAGGGAGATACGGCTTTTGTATTTTATAACTTTTTTGAGTTTATCTTAGACGCGATTTGTAGCTTTTGCAAGCATAACTTTTTTTATTTCTGTATTTACGCTAGTTTAAACGATGTATCTAGATACTAGTTTATGCGCCTATTAGGCTATATTATACTAGAGTTAGAAGCTAGCATCTATACGAACTTAGGCTTTTTTGCTGTAGATATTAGAGTTATTGTTTATAAGGCAGATAAGGATGCCTGTATAGCTCTAGCCTCTGTTTTTGCATTAATGTAGGATTGCCTAGGTATAGTTAACGCGCTTTTAAATAGCTGCGATATATAGCTGCATCCTATAGCTTTTTTAGAGTATTTTATTTGTTGTAACTGCAACTACTTTAGTATTAGCTTTGATGTAGCTACTCCCGAGGACTTAGTTATACTATAGTAATTTTACCTATTTTATCTAGCCTATAGTACAGTATAATAATGAATTGGCATTTTAGACTTGGTGCTAATTAACTTTTGATTATATAAACAGTATACCTAGGTTTTTACAGCTTAGTAGTACTTTAGCTAGTAGTGCTTTTGCAGAGTTATGCAACCTAGTATAAGTAGCTATATATAAAGTAGTAGCTTTACTAAAAAGTAGAGCTTAATTTAGGCCCTTTTTTTATTTCTGAGCAGCTGCATATAGAGTAGTAGCTTTACTAAAAAGCAGGGCCTACTTTAGGCTAATTTTCTAGTTTATATATTAAATTTTAATTCTGTATGCCTGTCTGTTTTGCATGTGCTTACACGCTTCTTAATCCTTATACTTTAATATTGCCCTATAGTACTTTAGCTAATTCTAGTATACTATTTTTTTTAGTTTCTAATTTAGTTAGCATACGCACATATTCTACTCTCTAATATAAACCCCCTACTACTACACCTAGCTACTTAGTTTTTAGGTAATTCTAACTTTTTTTTACTGCAGTATAGCAGCGCTAGTAAGTATACTAGTACTTGTTTAGGTAGTAGTAGCTTTAGCGTATAACTGTTTTTTTTATTACTTTTTTTTTTTTCTATTTCTTTTTTCTGCTTACTCCTACTTCTACTTTAATTTACTTTTTTACTTTTTTTTATTTTTTCCCCTAATTCTAACTTTCTATAACTACTATAATAACTAGCGCCATTTTTGCGGGTGCTGCTTCTACAGCTCCTATTGCTTAGCCTGTCCTGTTCTTCTGCTAGGCGCTTAATATAGGGTATAGTTTAGCTATTTACTATAAGCGCTATATAGATACTAGCATAGTAAGCTAGGTTAGCCCTACGCTCTCTGTTAATGCTAATTAGTATAGGCAGCTACTGTTTTTATAGTTGAGATTGACTTGGAGAAACCTAACTTTAAAGTTTTCTACTAGTTTTTAGTTAATATCCTCCTAGTGCTTATAAGTTTGTTGTATAGCTACTTTAAGTATTTCTAGACCTACGTGTCCTGCCCAATTTATTTAACTTAATTAAGCGTTTTTATTTAACAGGCGTTTTAAGCTTAACTTAAGTTAATAGATATGCACTGCCTCTACTTTTTAAAGCACAATTTAGGCTTAAGTAATAAAGTGCAACTAAACTGCATTAAAATAGATATTCTTAAGTAGCGTTAATAGCTACTGCATAGCAGTCCGGGACATGCCTATCCTTACTTTGCTGGGTTTTTTGTGTTTGCTATTTATAGGCTTTATATTACTAAGAAGTTGCGTTTCTGCATTAATATAGGCAGGCTTAGCTTAGGTAATGTATTAGTTGTTAAGATGCTGTGTGCTTTTTTTGCTAAGTTAATAGATATAGCTTTTTAAGTTATAGGTGCGTGTAGGCTTGAGGTTATGCTCTAGATTCTAGTAGCTAAACTAGCTACCTGCATCCTACTTAATTTTATGTCTAGACTTAATATTTTTAAAGTAGCTATTTGTACTTTATTTAACCCCGAGTCTAGAGCGTATATTCTAGAGGATATTGCTAAGATAAATATACGCGTGCGGGAGTAGAAGTTTATTTAGGCTATAAACTCTAATTTAGAGCTTACTGTATTGGGGATAGAGGCGTTGCCTAATAAGCCTATTTTTGTTTACTTAATTAGATGTTTTTTTTTAAAGCTAGAGCTAGGCGTGTAGGCTACTT